CGAACGAAAGTTTGTATTTCGTTTGACTCTTTTGCTTCTGATTTCAAATGCATTTCCATATGTCGCCTTATGAGTCATGTGTTTGTTTTGATAAATGAAACGGGTTAACAATTACCGCGATTTTTGTCTTATTGTCTGCAAATCTGTACAATTTATCAGTTATTTAAATGACAGCTTCGCTAATCCTCCTGTTTATCTCCCACTTGATCGCTTTTGGTGCCTCTACTCCGGCAGCAAAGATTTTGCGTTACCTCCTCGCTCGCTTTTCTCTCCGGTTTCAGTCGTTATCCATCATGCCTCCGTTTCAGAGTGATCATGTTGTTCGGGGGGCATCAACCTCATTCTTTATAAAATCATCTGTTTATAGTGTTATGTCTGCCATGACTGATGTTTCTTACATGTGTATCCTATAATTTTTCTATTGGAGTGATTCAATCACATGAGGATCTGCTACAGCGTGGTGTGTATATTTACACTATTTCCCTTTTCCAAATTTAGAACTTTTTTTGAGTGCAAAACGACTCTTGCTTATTTGCCTGCCACATGGTTAAACACATAAATACTCGTGGGTGTGTGTCATTTTTCCGGTATTTGTTCCATTGAAGAGTTAGTGACCTTTTTTAAAACTACTATGCAAGTTCACTACTTATATCATGGATTTTAATAAGTTATAAAGTCTTGTTATGAAGAATGAGATCACGCTAAGGTATGTTTGAGATAATTAAGATTTGGATATTAGTCAAGGTGAAATACCAACAAAATTACGTACATGTTAAAAATAATTAAATTATTGTTTCAACTTTCAAAAATTGGATTTACGTGATGCAGTCTTATAATAACATCTAATCAAGTGTAATTACTTGATAATTGATATATTTGTATGTTGGCAAGCGTGCAGGTCTTTTTTTTTAATTTAATGGAATAGTTTCGACCTTGAAAACGAAATTTTGAAGGAATAAACTGGTGTTGTTTAGTATTTTTCAAGTACTCTACTCGAATGTTTTACATTAGTTTATTCATCCACAAACTAACTGTTAATCACACTATACGCTATTTATTTCGGCAGTTAACATGTTGACCCACTTTTTGATCTTAAGCGGTTCGTAAAGTTTTACATATCGTTTAATCTCACACTGCATATTTGGTTACACAGTTTGCCTTCTAAAGTGTGCTGTTGAAAGTAATATGGGAAAAAATAGACACATTGTTAGATTTTTTTTAGATATGTGATTTATTTTGATTAATTGGTTTTATTTTATAAATCTTTAAAAAAATCCTTGTACCAAGGAAAAAGTTTTGTACATTGAAATTTTTTGGGGAATTCCCAGAATTTGCTAGAAATCATTAAAAAGCACTATTTCAGTCTTTTCTTGCAACTTTTTTTTGTTACATGCTAAACTTTTATTGCTCGATTTTGCTTAGTTTTTTAAATAACTTGGTTTCTTGACGAAAACATATTTTTTTTAGTTTATTACAGAAAAAGTTAAGACAGAAAAGCAAATTTTACCACTGTAAAGAGAAAAGTACGAATTTAATAATGGATTTAGTGTTATATAAATGTGATTATTGAGTAATAGTTTTTCCATCACTTGTGCAATATACACTTTTTGGCTATTGAGATAATGACTAATTTTTTTAAAGCACTTTAAAGTAAATGTTTTTGGAAAGAAAATGCAGAAACAATTTTTTTTTAAGTTTCTTAACAATTTTTTTCAGATTTTTATCTATACAAGTGCAACACACTAAAAAATTGTTGTTGTTGTCTTGAAGTTTGTATTTTTTTCTTTGCAGTTTTAGTACATTTTTATCTGTCTTAGTCTTTGTGTAATAAATTTTTAGAAAAAAAGCAACATACAAAAAGGCCAAGAAACATATGCTGTTTAAAAAAAAAACATAATTTTGTATTATAACTTATTTTTGGGACATTCTGTATAGTTGAAAAAAATTTCAGGAGTTTAATATGTATCAATTTACTTTATAAATGTTTTAAAATTTTAACAATTGAAGGTCAATAATGGACCAACTCGCTGGGAAAGCTGTATATTGTAATATTTTTATTTATGATATTGGAACCGCTGAGGGTTTAATTTAATTTTCTTTTGAAATATAAACACACGCCTCTGCGTTTAGTCGTTTCAGAACAGTAAATCCTTTCATGAAGAGTTTCTCGATGTGGACAAGAAATGTGGTCTGTCCTATAAATGGAAAAATATGAGAAAATCCAACATTACAGTCTGAAAAAGCCTCATTTTGATTTGCGTCAGCGTGAAGAAGAATTAATCATTTCCAATTGACATTTTTAGTGCCGTGAAAATACCCGCGTTTAGTTTCGTAATTCTTGGTTTTCTTGTTTTTGTGACACGTCTTAAGTATCTTCATGATTTACGTTGTTTGGAAAACCTCCAGATCGTCTCCATAAAATAATGCATTCTTGTTTTTTCAGCCTTGCAGCATTATTGGCGATAATTAAACGTAATCATTGTCGTAGTTTACAAAGCTAATTCTGGTTATAAAATCTCAACCCACGCATTTATGATTGAACTTGTAGGTCGCAGACGAGGTCAATACTTTCGTATTAATCCTGATCGCTTTATTTGAGGAAGTCGTAAATGCGTTTTTTTTTTGTCTTGTGGATGACCCACTTATTTTTCTTTCTGCTAATAACACCTACAAGATGTGAGGTGGAACACATGGTAAGCGAGGGCTTTAAGCCAAAGTCGCTTTCGCTCTTATTGTAATAATAATTGTAATTCTGCGCCTAATAGTGTCACTCTCACCTTACGATGCCAACCTAATTCTAGAATGTTTTATTTATTGGAAATAAATTTATTCCGTATCAGTTATTGAATAGATTTTGCGATGAGAGAAAAGTAAAAACTGCGACCCCTAGTTTGCTACGGTTGTAATTGTATACAAGTTGTTTATTGACTGTGAAATAGGAAAGGAAAATTTATTCCTTCCATCTTTTTATTGCAATGTAGCTGCTATAAAACCACTTTCTTTAACAATCAAACTAGATTTCTGTTGTCTTCTTCACCTCAAAACCTGACAGTTGTCAACGAAGCACAAATGTGTTTTCTTGTATTTGAATTTGCACTTTAGCCTTCCGGGGGAAAGCTTAGGATGAGCAAAGTTTTTGAGGTAATTAAACGGCCGCTCGTAGGCGAGTTAGATGTTTCCACCCACTAGTTTCCAATTTAACGCCGTTATGCAAACCCACCTTATTTTTTGACATATCGTTTCTTAGTTATTGCACTTACATGCGCTAGAACAAATAAACGATAACATCAGGAGCTGTGTAAGACCATTCGAACCATGAGCCAATTATATCTAACCTCACGGCATTGTTTAAAGGAACGGCTCGTGTCATATATCAACTCTTTCTACTTTATTTTCAGCAGTTTTTAACATTTCATGCATACTGAAACGAATAGCTCATTAAAAACAATGTTGCTTTGATAGCTTAGCTTCAAAGGAATCAGGAATTTCAAAACATATTTTTACTTGAAATAAAAAATTATTACATATGCAGGAGATATGGTGGGTTTAGTTGTAGGAGTCTGTAGGCGCCTTTGTGCGAGGAACCTAAGGCATCGATACCATATTTATCACCGATTTACCATAAGCTTTCGGAATGATGTGCATTTGATTATAGTTTAGGCGAAAATGTTGTCTTTTTTAAGCACCCTAATGTAATGTTGAAATTACTGACTTTTCTACACTACTCTAAAAATTTTAAGGTGATTTTTTAAAGGCTGTAATTCATCTAAAAATAGTCGTATTTAGATTTAAAAAAAAACTGTTTTGAAGCTTTAAGTTTCTTGGCGTAATTTTTTTTTCCGTGGTACGGTTACCCCGCAATCCTAAGTAACATCGTGAGAAAATACATTCTAAATTTTCTTGTTTTTTGGTGTTTTTACAACTTAAGTACCCCTTATAGTCATATTACCGTTTTTTTCGACCGATTGGTCAAATTTTACAAAAGAATTATAGAAACAATTGTACATATTGTTTTGTTTCTGGACATTCTCTACTCTTTGTCACAATGAGAAAAACGATTTTTTTCAGCTTTTTTACAATTTTGCATTATTTAAATTTAAAAAAAATTAACAAAGTTCAAAAAAAAATTTGATTTTTGTTCAAAAATTAATCAGTATTGTTTCTTGAATTTTTTTGCAAATTAAAAAAAATCTGAAACATTTTTTTTTTTTGGGAAATAACATCCAAAATTGTAAAGAAAGTTGATAAAAAAAATGTTTTTTTTTTCATTGTGATGAAGGTAAGCAATGTTCAAAAACAAATGTGCAATTGTTCCTTTATTTTTTTTTGCAAAATTTTGATCATCGGTCCGAAAAAACGGTTCGATCAATTTAAAAATTTGCAGGGCTACTGGGGATACACTGAGCTATAAAAACACCAACATTAGTGAATACACCATAGATTTACTAAAACAACGCAGAAAGTTAGTTTTTTCTCTTTCCTTGAGATCAATATTGAGTTTGAAAAAAAGTATTTTTCAAAAAATTAAAAAGGATCTTGTAAGACATTTATCCCAGTTTTTAACACTATTCTTATATTTTCTCTGTGGTCATTGGTTGCTGAGGTATCGATGATCAAAGGCAAAGGGATCCTTTTTCATTTAAATTCCGATATCTTATCGACAAATTGACGTAAAGAGAATATGAAAAAAGCGTATTTTGGTCCGTGGACCAAAAACAAAACCAAGAAAATTTAGAATTTTTTTTCTCACGATATTACTTAAGATTGCGTCGTAACCGCAGCACAGAAAAAAATTTGACAAAAGATCTCAAAACTAGAAACTTAAAACTTCCAAAGGGTTTTTAAAATCTAGATATGACAATTTTTAGATGATTAAATCACCAAAAAAATTTAGGAAATTTTTTTGTTCCTTCAATTTTTTAGAGTAGTGTATTACAATTCTACAAAACTGGTTTTGTTAGAGGGTGTTTTGGGTTGTACCATATTTTTAATTTTTTTAGGGCGGCGAGGCGGTGAGCCCTGGCATGGACTGCCTGCAGCTGCGCCAGCCCCCCGGCCCCTTCCACTACCTAATCAACGAGCAGGCGAAATCCCTTGTGGCCCTCCAAGAGCTCCAGCATGAAGTGGGTGCCCTTTTGCAATTCCGTGATCTCGTCATCGAGACATTTCCCAATCTTCGGACCAAACTTGCCTCGTCGACACCTGCCACCATGACTTCATCGCATCACAATTCCAACATCCCGGTCTCGATACGTACAGCAGATTGGACACCAGGAGTCCGTGTACGTAAAAAACTCAATAGTAAAGATGAGACAAGACTTGGTAAAAAAGGGGGCGATATTGCGGTACAAGACTCTGGATTTAGTACCGAGACGTCGAGTAAAGAAACACATAGTGCGTCTTCAACAGCACCACCTGCTGCAGGAAGTCGTAGTTCTTGTGGATCTTTCAAGTTTGATGAGACTGAAGATGAGCTGTGGAACCTCCTCGATGTGATCCATAGAAAAGGGACACGGTTGAAGGATGAGGTGGAGGCGTTGCAAGGGGCTATAAGAGAGCAAGGGAATGAAAATGATTTTCAAAGGGTGTTGTTTACGGGATCTGCGGATGATATCAGACAGTTGCGACAAGAACGTGATCTCCTTTTGGATCGTTTGGCTGAAATGGAAGCTGAAGTTTTGGCCGGAAGAGTGCACACTTCGCGATTACAAGAAGATCTAGAAAATCTCCTATCGACGAAGCATGATTTGGAAGAACAGTTAAAAGCAGTAGTGTCACAAAGAGGTGAAGTGAATTCACGCATACATGACTTACATTTACAATTTGTGACTAAAAGTGGAGCTAGTTCGCCGGATGGTGGTGATAAATCCAAGGTGCTAATAGGTGATAGTTTGAGTAGAAAAGACTCGACGACTAGTCAAAGGACAAGGAGAAATAGTGCATTGGATCTAGTGCTCGGTGATAGAATACCCAAAGTTAAAGTGCCCGATTCGAAAAAAATTGCTGCCATTTTGAAAGAAAACGACCCTTTGGTGCTACAGAAACATCTCTTGTCGACGACTGTCCAAAATCAGGTGAGTTTAAGCAATAAATAGAATCATCCTCTACAAAACGTGACCGTCTAAACACTTTTGACTTATAAGGTATCCCGCTGCACGTGTTCACCGACAACACAATAATTACAAATCCGAGGACATTGTCGGATTTAATTAGCTATTGTTTTCGTATTTGTCCAACTTTCGTTTCAATTGTCGTGATCGTTAATAAAAATCAAACAAGGAAAAAATTAGATTGATCTTTGTATAACGTTTGCGGTCAGTGTAATTGCATAAGATGATGCATCAGTTCAAGACGGTGGAATAAACTCGGATCTGCTTTTATTGTATTGTTGATGGTAGTCGTGAACGGCTAATGAATGCCAACGTGACGAACATTATCAACGATTAATGCCAACCGCGTCGATTAATTTAATCCTGTTAGCGAATTTAAAATTTTATGGCGTCGATTAATATTGGGTGGCGTTCTTTTAATAAAGCCGAGGCTTATCAAAATTAATTTGTTTTTATTGAATTAATTAAAAAGAAAAAAAAAAGAAAATGGAACATGTTATTGTGAAATCAAGAGATTTTTCCTAAGTATTAATAATAAAGTGTCAAAGTGATTTATAGCTTCTCAAAAAGGTGGGTCATTGTTGTGCAACAGAAGATATTATTCTTTTTGAGTAATGTATTATTTGATGTTTTCTTGGGGCTGAAAATTATGAAAGTAATAAATTGAGACATTTGTATGTACAGAATAGGTAATGAAAGAATTATCTTGACGATAGACCGGAAAACAATCACTTTCTATATCAAATCAAAAAACTGACACTTTAGAAAAATACAGATGAGATGAGACAGGAAGGAACCTTTTATCCTCACGAAACGAAGTTTCACTTTCAGGAAAATTGCACTTTTTTCAATTTTTTTTTTACGGAAGTAACAATTTACATACATGTTTTATTAGAGTAACACAAATTATTTCGTTTTTTTTTTTAATATTCTTCAAAAATTAAGATATTGTGTGAGCTAAATTTAATAAATGGGTCATCTTGATATTTCAGTGAGTATCTAAAAATACTTTTGGATGTTGGCAATATAATAAATATTTACTAATATTTCTGAATGAAATTGACTGATTTTTAGAAACTCTCAGAATACTTCTTGTTCAGTTTTCTTTTAAATAAAGTAAATGTTATACAGAGTGGAACAAAACTTCATTCCTGATTTTAATGAAACATTTAGGCATGAAAGTTGTGGTATAATTATTTAACACGTTACTTATAAAATTATTGAAAAAAATAAATAAATTCAATGTTGAATTCAAGTTTTTTTGTTAACGGGTAAATTTGTTTTTTTCGAAAAACCGCTCCAAAGGGTAAAATAGGGATATTAGTGAAGTTCAAGTTTAACAAGATTGACCTGTTTGTATTTTTTTGAAAATTTAACAGTTTTAATTCCTATGAATTTATCTACGAATTTAGCTACACCCTGCATATTTTTTATAATAAATAAATTATAATCATTTTGTTTCAAAGAGAAAAATAAAGAAATACGTTATTTTAAAAAATTCCTACAGATTAGAGGTATTAATAAATAATTTAAGATGTGGCTGCCAGTTTATTTACAAAAATACAACATAACAAAAAATATAAAATAACATAAAAAATATAACATAACATCATTAGACCCGGAAGAATCGCATTTTGGAAATAAAAAATTGTCATTTTATATTTTGACAAAATTGCAATTTATCGCAGATTGTTTCAGCGGTTCTTTCCTGAAAGAGTGACAACAGATTGAAATTTTTAACAAAAAAAATGTTTAAAGAGAAGATTTAAATAAAATATATTTTTTAACTTTGAGATTATTCTCATTCAACTTTATGTGTTGTATTTTTTTTATATTCTGCATATATTAGGTGAACAGAAAAGAATGGAACCAAATGTTTTTTGCTTAAAATATTTATTTTTGAAAAAAACTAATTGGTGAATGATAAAGTACTATGTATAAAAATGTGACGTTTCTCAAGAATAAAATTATTCGAATTTTTTTTATTTCTGAGTTCTGCAAAATTTTTGTTTGTTTTAATTGATGTGGTCTAAGGTTATTCATATGTTTCTATTTAAATATCTCATAATTCAAAACACAATCGTATTTTTTTACATCATTTTAATTTTTATTAATTATTATTTTCTGAAAGCAAATGATTCGAAAAACGCTTGGTTTCATACCCAAGTTTACCCTGTATATTATTTAACAAAACATGGTGAAAGAGACAAAATTTATCTATTTTTTTTACTTCTTATGGTCTGTGGTTTAACATTGAATAGATTTCAAGATTATTTTCACTTAAATTTGTGTTGTATTTTTTTTTTGTATTTGTCTTCTATTCTGCATATATAAATTATATTTTGCCGTTATTTAATACGATTTCTTATTTCTTTTATGTATTTCTTATGATATCGCAGTTTTTTAGCATTTGTCGCAATTGCAATTTTTTTTGTCTAATAATTATGTAGTTTAAAACATTTAAATTTGAAAGGTTTTGTTTTATTCTTCCTCGCATTTTTTTCTACAAAGAAATTTGTTACAATTTTTTTAGTTATTATTTTAGCTTACAAAAATACTGCAAATTTTAGACATAGCTAACCATTTCAACTCACTTCGAGAAAAAGAAAAATAAATTTAGTCTCCTAATGTGTTCATTTTCCTAGCGGTCCTAGGATATAGCTCTGGTTTTTCTTAAAATTAAAAAAATATTTTTTGCCATATTTAATTTATGAAATTTGCGTACTTCTGTAGTGATTTTGGTGTAGGTTGCAATTAATTTTTGTATTTGTTGCCAGGTTTTATATCAGCAGCTTGACACAGCAGCACGAGTAGAAATCGGTCTTGCTGATAAATTAGACAAGGCACGCGAAGAAAACGATGATCTTCGATTTCAAGTACGTGCAATTTTTTTGTGTGTTAGACTTTCTAAAGCATTTTTTTCCAGTTGGAGGACAAAAATATAGAATTAGAAGGAACGCGTGCTCGAGTGCGAATGCTCGAACAACTCCAAAAGTCGATAACAACCAACACCTCCCCTGATGTCATCCCCGATCACCCCATCTCCCGTAGCGAAATAACAACAGCAAGCATGAAAGCGATGAGTCCTCTACCTCTCAACCTCCAAATGGACCATTCGAGCAGCACCGAATCGGCCCACGACCAGGCCGAAACCAACCGCAAGAACCGACGCCCCAGTAAGATCCCGTTGAAGAGCTACACGGCGCCGAAGCCTCCAGGAGGTAAACACAGTCCCGCACCAGGTGCACGTAGTCGTAGTGGCGAATCGCCGGGTAGACCGCACTCTGCACAGTCCTGGAGGAACAGGAGCGAAGGGAACAGCTTATCAGGGAGCAAGAGCAACTCGTCCCTGCCGAAATCCAGGAACGGGTCGCTCGTTTCCGCCAAGGATTCGCTTTCCAGCAAGCTTAGAAGTAGCGATTCGCTTTCCAAACTCTCGTCGAATAACAATAGCTTTGGGAGTAATAGGGGCACCATGAGGAAGAGCAACACGCCGGTTAAGTGGACCAACAACTCCAAAGACGTTACCGATAAGGTACGACCAAAAACCACTTCATTCTGGAATTTCTTCAAACTACACAATGGTCAGACGTAGGAGTGCCGCCATTATTATTTAGTTGCTCTCGCCCGTCTCGAGACGTGCAGTAAGTGACGCTTGTTTTTTTTTATTTGCTTTGAACGCTTATCAAATCTTGTAGATCCATTGCTCACGTAAGTAGAGAGTAGTACCTGTTCCTATGTCCCCGTTTTTGATTTAGTTTTTTCCTCAAGCAGTATGCATGTAAATGAAATTTAAAACTTATTCAGAAGCGAGGTTTCGTCTGTGTTGCACAAAACCGGTCATTGTGTGACCGAGAAAAAAAAACTATAGCGAATACATTTTGAAACATCAGACATCGTATGAGAAAAAAATTGCTCAAATTTTGACCAATTGGTCATAAAAATTAAGTAATTGGGACAAAGTTTTATGACAAAGCCATTTTTTAGGAAAATTACACCACAATAATATTTTTATGAGCTATTAAAATTTTGATGTAAGAATTATCTGTTTTTTGAATTTTGTTTCAATTCTGACATCCTGAGAAAAATCATCTTTTGGGCAACATTTTTATGAAAAAATTAAACGTTTTCGATTACTAATTAATAAAAAAAACTTATGTTAGTACAGTGCCTACCTTTTTAATCCTAGACCGAGACGGGGATAAGTTTGACTTAGCAATTTAGTGCAAAATCTGTCTCAAAAAAACAGCAACTAAATTAGTTTTTTCAGTTAATTTTTCATTTTTATAACAAAAATAATAGGTATCATTTTTTTCGACGATCTGAAAAAATTCACATACACAGAGTTCTTTAGAGTCAGAGTTTTAAGTTTTTATAAAAAATAATTTGGACAAAATTTTGTGACAGAGCCAAGTCAAACACAAAGCCATTTTTTAGCAAAATTGCATTGCGCCACAATTATATTTTTATGAGGTATTAAAATTTTGACGTAACAATTAATCATGTAAGTTTTTTTTAATTATTTTTATTCAATTCTGACATCTGTACTAAAAAAAATATACAGGATGCTTCATCTTAGATTTTTCGGTCAAATATTTGTAACAAAATTAAACGCTGACGATTTTAATTATGAATTAATACAAAAAAAAATTGTTGTTTTAATTACAGTGCAACCTCTTGAATCCGACCACGTTTTATAAATAAGCATTTCTAACGGAAACAGGATAAGTTTGACATAGCAATTCTATGCAAAATCTGTCCCAAAAAATCAACAATGAAACTTCAATTAATTTCCTCTTCTTTATGTTTTTATAAAAAAAATAAAATTATTTTTCGACGCATTTATAAAGATTAAACAATCTAAAAAGTTCACATACAGAGGGTTCTTAGAGTAAGAGTTTTGACTAGTTGTTCATAAAAATAAGAAATTGGTACAAAATTTTATGACACAACGCCTTTTTTTTTAAATTTTACCACAACTATATTATGAGCTATTAAAATTTTGACGTAACAATTAATTATCTATTTTTTTTGAAATTTTTATTCAATTCTGACATCTGTCCTAAAAAAAAAACATACAGGATGCTTTATCTTAGATTTTTCGGTGTTACAAAATTAAACGTTGAACAAAAAGAAGAAAAAAAATTAAACGTTGATGATTTTCGATTACGAATTAATAAAAAAACTTGTTCTTTTAATTTCAGTGCAACCTCTTTAATTCAACCACGATTTCGCAATTCTGTGCAAAATCTGTCTAAAGAAACAAAATTTTTTGTTCATTTCTCATTTTTTTGATAAAAAAAATAATAAGAATATTTGTTTTCGACGCATTAGTATAGGTTAATTAACATTTATTATCAAAAATAGTATAAATAATTTGAAAAAATTCACATACACAGAGTTTTAATGACAATCTCTAATGTTTTAGAATATGTTTTTAATAAATAAACATATTTTTATTGCTTATTTGTAAAAAAAAAGTTAATTCAATACTCCAAAAAATCGATAATTTGAAGAAACTCCAATAATTAGTTCGGCTAAAAGAGGTTCTACTGTATTTAGTAACCAGTCAGGGGATTACCCGCTATAAGCTGGCATAACTTTCACGGAAACGTTACATATTTTTATAATTTTCGATGTTTCCTCTAAATCTTTATTAATTGTAACCATTTCCTCATGAAAGATTGTAACACACTCCAAGAATACTTGATAAATGATTCACCGTTACGCAAGACGTCTCAATCATTCTTGCAACTTTTCCTTAGTTTGTGGAAAGTTGTAATTGTAATTATAATTTTTAATCTATTTTCTAACTAACTAAAAAAAGAGTTTTTTTGTCGTGTTGTTTTGATTTGATTATAAATTCGGCTTGGTGAATTATTTTTTGAACAATTTTGTTCCACTCAATTTTACCAAACTTAATAATCTTAAAACCATAAAATAAATAAGATCAGTTTCACAAGGTGATTTTTTCCCGTCATCTAGTAGGTAGCAAACAGATGGCTTCTTACGTAAAAATTTAGGTGTGTAAGAAGCAAATATGAGGATAGTACGTATTGTGTAATAACAATAATAACACCTTTTATTTTATTGGGTTTAATCACAGTTATCCGAATACCAATAGGAACTCTGGTTGGATAAGTTCTTTTGTTGCTTTACAAACCTCCAATGTCCCACGATAACATCCGGATATCTTTTGTACGGGAGTTAATAATTTTTCAGATATAAAAAACGAACGTTACATAATAAATTGTTTCATTGTCACAGCAGGGGTCCTCCTATGTTCGGAAAGTGTTGCAAATTAGAAACTCATTGAACTGAATGATAATGAGTGGTTTATTTTTAGTCGCTAGCTTTTTATCTACCCTTCCCACACTCATTTTTATTAAAAACACAACTTTCCTGCGAATAATTAAGGAGTTTTTTTTCAACAAAATGATTTTCTTCGTGTTGCGTCAGTGTCGCGGTCTGGTTACAGTGTGTTTCTAATTTTCTAGTTATTTACAAAACAGCCGTTGTTGCCTCTGCATTACGTGACCCTCGAGCTCAGACAGAGTGAAATTATATTTAGAAATCGCCGACAGTTACATCCATAGTTTATACAGGGTGATTTTTAAAAAACGGCAGGCGCTGTAGAATTCTTATTTATGACCTGATTTCAAAACTTTAAAAAACACAATTTTAGAATTTCACTATTTTTTTTTAATCACCCTATATGTTAACACGATTATTAGTCTGAAAATTTCAATATCGAAGACTTGTAGGGTTTCCTTTTCAAAGATTAACCTTGTTGAATGATGGATGAGATTATGTGGGGGGTTGTTAGACCGAAACCTCGCTTATAATTCGATTTAGGACTTTGCAACATGATGAAATAAATTTGACTTGGAAAGTAGTAAATTTGTATGCGCAATAATACTAAAAGGTCACGAAAGCTCCTTTTTTAATTTTCAATTCGGAAAATCAGTAAAAAAAATTCCAGCTTATTTAAGCGAGTATAATTTTCCATCCAGGTACGTAGTGATGTCCCGCATGTGTGTTGCTTGCTCCTTGTAAATAGTTCTTGTGTTTTTGGTGATTAATCTCGACTCACTTTTTTATGGTGCATTTTAGTTTAATTTTGCAATTAACAAGAGTGACTAATTGTTTTAAAGTTTTTTTTTTAATTAAGTCTGAGATGACATTTTTATTCATCGGAAGGTAAATTATCGAAATTTTGAAGACCGGAAGAAATTTCATTTCAAGGTTTCATGTCGTAATTTTATTTGCTCGTTCTAGATTTATTTTTCATTGAATGAACAAACAGTTTGAAATGTACGCAGAGTAACGTGCCGGACAAGAAAAGTAATTTTCTATTTTTATGCATCGTAAAGCTTTCTACTGAACTTATTTAAAGGAAATATTTTTTCCTGATTTCTTTGACTGCATTCTAACATAACATTAAAATTCTTTTTCATTCTATAAATAGGTCGACTACGATTTGAATTGCTTGAGCAATTAAAAAATTTTGTACAGGGTGACTATTAATGTTTGTGACAAAAAGCTATTGGCAACACTAAATTATTGGTAATTTTTACATTTATTCCGCAAATAATAAAAAAAGTTTGACGTTGAAGTTTGAGAGTCAGTTAAGTCAACTAAGATTGCCAACTTCAGAATGTAAATCACCCATTACCATGTTTTCAAATTTTCTGATCGAAGTGTCCTTTGACTTTGAAATTAAGTTGGCAACATAAAGTGTCAAATTCAAACATCACACTTTTATAGTAAATTGTCATTCATTTCCGTGACATAATTTGATATCATCAATAATTCAGTGTGGTGACGACTAAGCCGCTAACGATAAAAAAATTGACGTTTGAGTTTGAGAGTCAAGGTTGCCAACTAAGATGCCAAATTTTCTGATAGGACTTTGAAATTAAGTTGGCAACATAAACTGTCAAATTCAATAATCACATTTTTATAGACACTTGTCATTCGTCTCCGAAGACGGTTATTGATCACATCTGATATAACCAATAATTCAGTGTTAACCTGCAAAGTCACAAGCCTAAGGTCTGTTTTAAAAAAAATATTGGCAACACTGAATAATTTCTAATTTTTCTAATTTATTATATTAGAAATTAGGATGTTTTAGGTGACTATTAAGGGACAGTTTGGACATTTTTTTATTTTAAACAATTTTTTACTGTCTGCCCAAAATGTCCCTAAATCAATAAACTGGAGGAGAACTATAATCTTAAAAAGTTTGACGTTTGAGAGTCAGGTTGCCAATCCAAGATTTTGAATTTGACGCTAACTTGAGCATAAAAATTTGAGGATTAAGTTGTCAACATAAACTGTCAAATTCAAACGTCACAGTACTGTAGTCAATTGTCATTCATGCAACTTAATTTTAAAGTCAGATCACTTTCATTAGTAATTTTGTGTATCATTATAGAGCAAGGCTGTTTACTCTGTGTACTGCAAGTTGCGCAGCACATGAGTTGAAAAATCTTGATGTTTGTTGCAGATAAGTTTAAGCTCAGCAAAAGGAAAATCTCAATATCCATGGACTCTCTCTTCATATAACAGCGATTCTGGTTCACCTTATCCAGACTCGTTGGATAGATCTGTGCAACCGCCAACAATAGAAACTTCAAGTAGTCACCGTTTTCAAACCGCTAACACATTTTTATGGAATGTGAGCAGTACACAGAGTGAATTTTACGACAGCATTGATTCCAATATCACTTCCAGTTTGTATCAGCAAAACGGTGAGGATCTTGCAGAATGTGATTCGCTTGAAAAGCAGTTATCAGATATATCCGATCAGAAATAAGATTTCTCTGTGTCTGTATATTTACGAACAAAATATCTTAAAATTTTAACTCTAGTATTATTTTGCACGTTAAACATTCCGTAAAAATACATCAAGTGCTAGATTCAAGGGTAAATTTGACCACACAAATTTGTATTTCTTGAAAACCGGTGCTTGCATTGCACTTAGATAATGTCGACCTGTTTGTGAATTCAATTAATTTGGAGACAGGTGGATCCTGTTTTACTTTTATTGTATTGCATGATATTTTAGTATTTTAACTGTCTTGTAAATTAAACAATAAGCTATCTTTTTAAATAGTTATAATTTATCTCTTTTTATTAGTTTTTTATTTTTTCTCTTGTTATATTTGCTGTGTAGGACTGTGATAGGTAATATTCTGAAGAACTATTGGAAGAAGTGGCAATTTATACCTAAATTTAAGTTCCTTCAAGGTGAATCTTTTAATATCCTCACTAACTTTTCAGTTTTAAACGGTATTTATTATTTATTTCAGTTTTAAAATCGATTGAGGAGTATTTATTAATTTTAAGGAAATTTTAGTGAGGGATGTTTATTGTAAATTCAAATATCATAAGAAGGTGTAAACACAACGATCATCATGTATCAGTGTTGTAATAATTGTTTTCAAATGTAAAGACTGTCTTACTAACTGATATTAACAGTCTAAAGCCACATAATTTGTGATATATTAGAGTGCTCATTCACAAGCGTAGCTATTTCAATAAGTGTAAATGGTCATTCAAATTATTATAAGAACTATTAAATTACCATTTATGGAAGCAGATTTATAAAATGGCAATTTGTTTTTTTTAATTTTGTTATAGCGTTTTTATATTTGACTGATATTCATTTTATAAATCTGCAGTTAGGCAAAAGTATTGTAAATAGTTTCTGTTTATATGAATATAAACCATTAAAAATAAACTTTGTTTTCTTTCAAATTCCCATTAACACAACTTATTTATATTTAAAAAAATATAAAACATTTAATTAACAATTATAATCAATCAACCTTGTGTCGCTTTGGTTTTTCTAACGTTTTCAAGTGCTTCCAATTTCTTAATTAGGGTATCTATCTTTGTTGCAAGCATTTGAATAGTTTTCTCAATTTGATCAAGCCGTTCTTGTTGCCTAAAAATAATAATTTTAACTATTTACTTAAAAAAAAACAAAATTTACGTTATAAAATCGCTGACATGCACAAGAGTGGTATCTTCGTCCACTTTTTCCTTAGCTGAAAACAAATAATAAATCATGCAATAAATTCAATTTGGATTTTACCCATAGATTGTCCTTCCAGTTCCTTCATAATTTTTTTAATATCATAATCGCCTACTTCAGCCAAAGGATCGATGTTATAACGTGCAAAAAACATTTCTATTTCCAAGTCACTAAAACCACACCTGGAACAAAAAAATTAACTTTTTTTATTAATAATTGTTCCACTTACTTTTTAAGTGCATCGCGGATTTGTTGAATTGTGGCATTAAATTCGGCTTTTTGCTGTTGGAAATATTTTATATTGCACCCACATTTCTGCAGCATTTTATAGAATCCTTTCTTCAAAAATTCAGTCATTTGCATTTCATCGGGGGCTATCGCAATCTCGGTTTTAACATCAGCATAAGTGTCGTTAATAATAGCCAAAAACATATTCTAAAAAAATTTCGATGACTCTAATCCGGGTTTTTTTTTAAATTCCTATTACCAGTAACACAAAGAACACGAAGAAAATGTAAGCAAGAAAATAGATAGGTGCTAGAACTCTGTTCGCTTTTTCGATAGCTTGGTAGTCAAAATCGCCCAAAATTGTGCGTAACAGTGTGAACATCGCCACTCCAAAACTGCTAAAGTCCTCGACTTGGCTCCCAAACAACAAATATCCCAATAAAGCAAACGCGAAGAAGATAATGAAGAACATAATTGAGAAACCCAAAATGTCGAAAGCGCACTAAATCCAAAATTTAATTAATAGTAGATTACATGCGAGGTGGAAAATGTCTCATTCGCCAATAGTATATTACAATCGAGATGGAAAATGCGTCATTAATGACATTTCCATCGAGACTTGTTTACTATTTTATTCATAAAATAATAAAATATCCAATTTCGCAAAGCGAGTTTTTGATATTTGATGATTTCCCGACCATGGGATGTAATGACAAATTTCCCAACCTCCAAAATAAATTCATTTTTGTGTAATAGTTACCCGTTTCAGAGTGTTATTAAGCTGTCCCATTGTTTTGTTAAAGTTGAGGTATTTAAAGAGCTTGATGTAGGAAAAGAAGAGCAGGGAAGCAGCAAAATTGTTATATAAAATCCTCATTTCGGCCAAATACTCAAGATTTCCATACTGTTTCGGGTTTTTTTGTATTTTCAAAATCGCGTCATCAACATTTGGAAAAACCACAATGGAAGTGATGAGATTCGCAAATGCCATCTACAGAAAAACAACGCAATTTTTAATTAAACTAAAGTATTTTTAATTACGCCGATGATAATGACATCAATGTAAGTCCAAAATTGCAGAAAATATCTCAATTTGAAATAAATTATTTCTCTGATCTCTTCGGCTAGAAAAAACCCAGCGATGGCATAAACGGTACATTCAAAAACGAAAGTAACATAATCCCAGCTGTTTACGTAATGGATTAAATGGACGGCATGGAAAGAATGAGAAGGGAGTATACCACCGGTGGGTGGAAACTCAAAAATTAATCTATAAAAAAAATTAACCATTTTTGATTGATACGTGGAAATGTGACAGACTTGCAAACGCAAAATAAATTTAAATTTGCGTTGTAAATGGAAAAATCTATGAAAATAGCTCTGGTCCCCCGAGTTATCCACAAATTTTCTTTCAAGTCTCGAATTATTTTTCCTGTTTCATCGCTGTTTGTCGACAAATCTTGATAAAAACCTCCGCCTTCATACTTTGATATTTTTCCAGAAAAAGGGATGCTTTCAGTTTTCGCAGCAGTGTTGTAAGTCCACCTGGGAAAAAAACAATTCCAAATTTGAAATTCTTCGACCAAAAACTTGATAATTCTCAAAAGAAATCGAAAAAACCACTAAATCGGTTAAAAATAATTGTTTTTTTACAAGATTTTACTAAATTTACTTTTACTTTTTTCTTTAGTAGGTTGGTATATTTTTCAGGTAGAAGCACACTTATTTCGCAAAATTTCGCCAAAAATTCAACAAAACGGGACAAAAATGTGTTATTTTTGATTTTTTTCGAGTGTTTAAGCACGTTTTTGAGATAAATATAAAAAAATTCGTCAAAAGTTACAAAATTAAATCGAAATTGACATTATGTTTAGTTTGTTTCACTCGACTTACTTCATTTTCAGGCTAGTCTGATGATTTGTATTTTTATAAAAATTCAAATATTTTGATTTTTTGAAAATTAAAAAATATTTGTAACTCTGCGGTTACAACAAAAAATTGATACACTTATTTTTCAATTATTAATTAAAGAAATTATATCAAAAATATCTTTTAGAGCATTTTCCACGTTCTTCAACGAAAAACTTGATTATTTCGCCAAAATTTCTTAAAAAACACCAAATTGGTTAAAAATAGTTCTATTTGTTTTTTACTACATTTTACTAAACAAAGTCTCGAATGCTTGCTCTTGAAAATCACAAAACGAATGGAAATTGATGTTATTTTGTTTGTTTTACTCAATTTAATTAGTTTTTGAGCAAAATTAAGACAAAAATAAGCCGAGAAATCACAATATTTGAAAAATGCTTTTTTGTGCTAAAATCCCAGGTTTTTTTGCTAAAACAAACTAAAGATTAAAAAATAAAGTCGAAAATTAAATTATTTTTGTATTTCTCGAACGTTTTAGCACGTTTTTTGTTAAAAAGAAACCGAAAAATCACAGAATTAGGCCGAAAATGATGTAATTTTTACTTTTTTCGAGAGTTTAAGCAGATTTTTGATCTAGAAACTCCGTTTTTTCGCAATAATAATCACTAAATTATTATGAAAAAAAATTATTGTATTTTAATCTGGTGAATATAGGTGTAAATTTGGCGATTTTTTTATTTTTTGAGCACCCAGACGAGTTAATAGTCTTGTTAAAAACGCAAAATAGAAAAAATTTAAGCATACGCTGTTCCAGTTCCTAGGCCAAAGGGCTCCCGGTCTTCATCAGCAGGCCCATACAAATCATAACATGTTAAAAACAACCGTCGAAAGTACTCATGTATTATACAGGAATCATTCTTCACTTTGACCTGAAGAAAATGAAAAAAAAATTCAAATTAACGATCACTAGACATACTTGTCTTATTCGGGGAACCCCCAACAACTTGTTTTCAAAAAGAATCTTTTTGTCGTCCTCTTTGGCTTTTGAAACAGGATTGTACGGATTGTAGTAATGTTCCCAATAGAAATTCTCCAGCATTAAAGACTGTGTATACTGGAAGCCAAGTTTAAAAATAAAATAAAAATAAAAAAGCCAAATTTAATAAAATTTTTGGGCCTTACATGCCAAAAATCAGTCGCCGATCTGATTTCTTTATAATTAATATCTTTTTCATTAGCAGTTTGAAAATGTTTTTCCAAAAACTGGCCTTTAAGAGCTTGTGTGATGTAAAACATGGACGCGGACCGTCGCCCTACAGTACCTGCAAAACGTTTTTTTTTAATTTTTCTTCAATTGAAGAATTATTCGTTTTACAAATTGTAACAGCGACCACGAAGATTATATAAAGCACAGCTTCCCTAAACGTGGTGAAAAGCACATCCTGACGGGTGAAATCCTCAGCCATTGCTCGTGTCAACCACCGAACTTGAACGATTTTTTTTAGAAATTGTGATTTTTCTGAGCAAAATACCTTTGGTCTCCTTGGGTTCGCTCTTAGCTCCTTTATCCTTCGCCTTGTCGGGTTTGTCATCTTTTGCGTCAGTTTTGTCCTGGGCGTCTTTATTGGTGCCCTCTTTTTTCTTAACGTCCGGAGTTGCTTTGATTACAGCCTCTGGGGAATCGGGTTTTGGCTTCATTTTCACAAATTTGGAAAATTAATTGATGTTTGGCTGCTTTCCGAATTTGTTTATTTTTAGTAATTTCCATAGTGAAAGCATCACAAACGTGATTTTCAAAAATCGGGCGAAATTTGAAAATAATATTCAATTCGGTAATAAAAAATTAAAAAACTTAATGAAAAAAACTGCTTAATTGCGGTTACAGCAGTGTATAATTATAATATTACAAATATTAATCAATAATAATTTAATTTGTTTTAAAATCCTTAATAAATTTGGCAAAACATTTCCAAATTTTGTAGCTTTTTCTCTGAAAAACGCTTTGATTTGATTTAATTTTATTTTGGCAAAATTTGAGTTTTCCGCTGAAAAGCTAGCTAAATTAATCAAAATAGTTCATTTCAGATTTAATTTTCATAGACATTAACACATTGTAGACCTAATTTGGTGATTTTCTTCAATGTTTTAGTAAAATATTTCGCATTTCGTGGTCAAAAAAGTTTTAAATTTGTAGACAAAAACGTAAAACTAATTTTAGGTGTACGCAAGTAATTTTTGCTCAACTTTTTGTGGCCTGAATTTTCTTACTTAGTAGCCAGGCCTGGTGAAATTTTACGATATCTGGTAATTTTTTTAGAAATTAAAAAACCGCCGTAATTGTGGTTACAACTCTGAAAATAATAATAATAATAATAATAATACTGATACTGATTCTAAAATTGTTAATACATTTGGCAAAACATTTAAAAATTTTGTGGTTCTGACTGAAAAATGTCCCTGATTTCATAGAAAATAATTCATTGTAAGAGTTAATTTTACAATTCTTCGCCTTGTTTTTGCAAAATCTGTGAATTTTCCGCTAAAAAGCTAACTACATTTATGAAAATAAATTTTTTCAGACTTAATTTCATAGACAAACACATATTGTAGTCCTAATTTAGCGATTTTCTGCTCTGTTTTAGTAAAATCTTTAGAGTTTTTTTTGGTAAAAAACGTTTTTTTGTAGAAAAAAATCATAAAATAATTTTTTGTGTCCTCAGGTAATTTACTGCACAACTTTTTGTTACTATGATCAAAAAATGACGGATAAGCTCGTTAGTTTCGTACAGTAAATTTACTAAAAAATTACAAAAAAAATAATTACAAAATTCTGTAAACCAAAGTTTTGAAACTATTAATTAAGCTTCAAAATTGACGACATAATTTTATAATTTTGGTTTATGTTAATTTGTTACTTTTTCTAAAACAGAGAATTTCATTTTTAACAGTAAAAATTTATTTGTGTAAGACTTGCGACAATTAATTTTTTATTTAAAAAAAGTTAAGGTGTAAACTACCTAAAATTATATCTGACAACATTGGATAAATAAAATAAACCTTAATTGTTCGCTACTGTCATTATTTTTGCTGCTACATTACGTTGCCAGCTAAGTAAAATTCATAATTCATCATAGCTCAAAAAAAATAAGACAGGAGATTTTTTTAAGATTTTTACACACTCCCCAAAGCTTTTCCAAGAATGTATCATTTTTTGATCTTAAAATATTTTTGTAAATCCAACCTTAACTACCGATTTTTCCAAAATCTAAACGATTTTTTGTTTTTTTTCCTCAACTTTTTGTGTCCATAGGTAATTTTTTGGTCATTGTGACTGCGAGCGTATAAAAAGTTGTAAAGGCCTGAAATAAATCACTCGCAAATATTTTTTGATTGAATCATTTTTATTTATTGTTTTATTACAGTCTTCATATTACATTTATGTTTAGATTTACTTTTATTACATAAATATAGACCTGATGAATATTTTATTAGTTTTTATTAAAAATTGCAAGACACTAAATTAATGTGAATTTAAGGAAATGAAAGAACTAAAAGCAACAATAGGCGTTTAAAAAGTATAACAAATATATAAAACACACGATGATACATAAAATAGTGGGAAATTAAGTGGAGATTTTATAATATTAAAAAGAGAGCTAGCTTGAGAGAAATTATAAACTAGATCTTAACTCATCCATTCGATATAGCATCCTCCGTCGCATTTCTTGGTACCTACAAAAACAAGAAATAAATCAAAATACAAATATGTTTACATCAAATACTTGTCTTTAAGTCTCGCAACTTCCTTCTCTTCTTGGGAGTAATACTGATTTAAAATAGCCCGACATTCAGCTAATGACAGATTTAAGAATTGTGCTACTTCACTACTAACTTCGGGAGTATTGTGACTATCCATTAAAAACAATTTGGAGACATCTTCATGAGGCCCTAATAAAACACGTGTCAGTAGTGGATATTCATCCTCCTTTAGCCGTCTTTGCTCTGAGAAAAAAAAAAAACAAAAAATCATAAATTAAACAACACGAGTTACTCACCGCCATTATCTCGAACAACAAACAACGCAAAATTACTCCCATCACTATCAACTTTATATTTATCTAGCATTAAATTGATAACTTCTTGCGTATTGACTAGCGACGTCACCCAAACACTCATCTGACTCCCATGTGGTGGTGTAAAAAAACTAGTTTCACGGTCGTAAAAATGACCATTTATTGAACATCTTCTTTTCACTTTACTCCGTGACAATCTTTTGCCTGGTCTTCGTCTGATTGCTGTTGAGCCAGTTTTCGCAGGTCGACGAATAACAACATCGCCTAAAGCTTCCGACATTGTTGATATGTCTGAGGATCTATCAAATTCCGGGGAATGTGGATCCCGGACTCGTCCCAAACAATCCGGACCCGACATTGATCTATTTAAATGGTTGCTGGTCTCAAGCCAAGTATCATCTTTACTGATTGGCTTTTTTAACGGGGAAAGCTCGTCGGGGGCGGAGCCGTTTGCGACGGGGTTTTTCATTGTTTCGCTGTCCAAGGTGGCGGCACTGCTGTCTTCAGCATAACTGCAAAAGTATTTTTTCATTAATTCATTATCAAAGCTCAAAAAACAGCATAAAAATTGCAAAATAAACAAAAAAATTGTATAGAAAACTAGTAGAAATATTTGTGCCTCAACTCGCCGCTACGTGGTTCGTATCTCGCTTGAATGGATGTCTTCTTAATTAATAATTTTCTTTAATAGTAAAATCGCAAAAAACAGAATAAAAAGGAGAAAAAATAGTACAAAAGACTTATTATAGCGTTGTTTGTTCCTCAACTAGTCGCTACGCAGCTCGTATAGAAATTGCAAGCTCTTGCTTGAATGGATATCTAATTAATAATAATATCCCAAAAAACAGCATAAAAAGATGAAAATAGTAAAAAAAAGCAGTGTAAAAGACTCGTTACAGAGTCGTTTGTTCCTCAATCAACTCGCCGCTACGTGGCTCGAATCGAAATTTTAAACTCTGGCTTGAATGGAAATCTTCTTAGATAATTATTTTCTTTATTAGTAAAATCCCAAAAAACAGAATAAAAAGCGAAAAGTAGACAAGAAAAATTGTACAAAAAACTCATAGAATTGTTTGTTCCTTAACTCGTCGCTACGCCGCTCGTATCGTAATTTTAAACGATTGCTTCTTAATTAATAATAAAATCCCAAAAAAGCTCAAAACAGACAAAAAAGGAGTGTAAAAGACCTGTTACAGAATCGTTTGTTCCTCAACTCGCCGCTACGTGGCTCGTATCGGAATTTGAAACTCTCGTTTGATATCTTCTTAATTAATAATTTTCTTTAATAGTAAAATCTCAAAAAACAAAATAAAAAGCAGAAAGTAGACATTATAGCATTGTTTGTTCCTCAACTCGTCGCTACGCGGCTCGTATTAAAATTTTAATTTTAAACGATTTCTTGAATGAATAACATCCCAGAAAATAGCACAAAAAATGCAAAAAAAAAACACAAAAAAAAAACTAATATGAAAGACTCGTTACAGAATCGTTTGTTGCGACGCAAGATTTCTAAAACTTTTCTCTAGATTATGACAAAACAAATTAGACACCAAAAACAAATTAACGATACTTAATATAATAACCCACCTTATTATTTTCAACCTTCGATAATTCAGTGAATGAATCAATGAAAAATCCATAACACAAACGGTCATTACATGAAAATAACAATAGTAATAAAAAACTAAATTAATTAGATAAACAATCTTTGGTGATTTGTTGAGAAATTTGTAGATTTATACAAAATTTACACAGAGTGGTTATAAATGATTTTCATCTAGCCAGCTTTGGAATTTTTTTGTATGTAACTTTATTTGTGCCGCTATACTTTTTTTGAAAGCTCTAGTTCTGTCATTAGTGTCACTTATTAATTAATAATAAATTGTTGTTAATTAGACTTTTATTATTTCAACTAATTTCCAATAATAATTGATAATAATGTATACATTGGAAGAAAACAAGTTTATAATTGTAGTCTATACGCTTGGTAAACGGCGATTTTTACTTTTGAGTTAAAACAAGTAGGTACCCCTATTTTCGTAAAGCGGCATTTTACATGGAAAATTCACAGCTGGCTAGATGAAAATTATTTATAACCACTTTGTATAATACAATTATAATCAATTTAGTTTAAAAATGTTACTATTATAATCGCTCATTTACTTGATAGCTTAAGGAAATGACTAGACAATTTTGGCTAGGCTAAAATAATTATACTCATTACATGCTGTGTTCGGAAGCAGAAATGAAAAATAAAACTGTTAATAAGAAAAAACAGCTCAAAATTGCTAATAGCGACATTTTGGCCATTGTAAAACGTCTCTCAAGTGATGTTTTTCACACAAAAATCGCTAAAACTGTATTAACTTTACTGGTACTAATCCATGGTAGTATTTTATTGATTGAAATTTTCTCAACACTTTTTAAACCCAACATCGAAGAATTTGCACTAAAAGCACCAATTTTCTTCGGCCTCATTTATGTAAGTAAACTAAATGATTACAGTTTATCACTTGGTGATATTTTAGCCAACATCTAGTGCTTTCATATTACTTATAAACCCTAAATTGATTGACAATTTCCCAGACTATACAAAAATTTGGAATACCGAAAACATCGAACGTAAAGTTTACCAATCGGTTAAAAGATCCGCCAAAATAACAGTTGGTTATACTGTGGCCACTATTTCATTGTCCGTCATTTGTGGAACAACTTACGTGCAGTTTTTGCATCATGAGAATGAAATTTTTTTCGCCTATCAATTTTTTGATGATTTTTTTCCAAAGTATAGTTTGATTCTAAAAATCATTTATAAGTCAACGTTCCCGATTATGGGTTACATCGCCATCGTACATCCCATGCAAACCATCTATGGTATCGAACATATCAAATATCAAATTATGTTAGTGAAAAGTTGGGTGGAGAAAATAAATTCAGATGAAGAAAATTTATTTTATAGTGAAACATATCAAAAAAGTGTTCGCAAGCAACTAGTTAATTGTATTCAAAGACATGCCAGTATCATCACGTAAATTAATACTTCTTGTGATACAAATTATAAATAGTCGGTTTTAGCTTTTTGCACGAGAAAATTGCAAAAGAAGTCGGCAGCTTGTTTCTAATTGTTATTATAAATTCTGGACTTTGTTTCATGAGTATTTTGCTATTTATGTTGTCGGTAGTAAAATTATGACATTTGATTAATATTAAAATGATATAAATATAATTTTAGGGTTCTTTCTACAGAGAGTATTACCTAAGACTGGGTTTAACATGTTTCACTGCTGGATTTGTAGGCCTTGCGGGTATTTTTGGCCAACAATTGGAAAATGAAGTATTATTTATGACTAAATCATAAACAATACGTAAGATTTAAGATTTTTTTTCAGGCCGAGAACCTGGCTACTGTAACATGCAATCTAAAATGGTATTTTTTCGATTTAAAGAACAGAGCCATATACTTGATTTTTGTTGGGAATGTCATAAAACCTTTACAATTTAAATATTTAGATTTTGCTCTTAACCACGAACTCTCCTTACGGGTAAAATAATTTTTTCTATCGATTAATAATTTCAAGATTGTTTTTTTTTACAGTTTTTTAAACTCGTTTACACTGCTCTTTCTCTTATGTTAAAGATCAGACCGCATTTGAGTGAAAAACTCACTTCTGCAGACAACTCAACAAGATAAACCACTAAAATATACAGTATGTGGAATAAATTTAATATACTCGAATTATTTCTTTGTGTCCATTCTTTTTCTTTTATTTATTTCAATGTATTTTTTCCACTTGGATGCGTTAACAAAATGAGAAAACAGATTTTCATCAAAAAAATCGAAGTGTCCTATGACTGTAATTAAGTTGGCAACAGAAATCATCAATTTCAAACGTCACTTTTTCATAGTCAATTGTCATTCATTTCCGACGGGCGGCCGCTGGCATGGCCGTCAAGTGACCTGATTTGATATCATCAATAATTCGGTGTTGCCAACTTAATTCGGATCGGAAATTTATTTGAAAACATGGTATTTGCTCTTGTCAAAAATTCAACATGTTCAAAAAAATAAAGAGTAATCAATTTTATCGTTTTAGTGTGGAAAAGGAAAAAAACTCATTGAGTACTGAGTTAGGACTATTTAACTTTTTTATAGTATTTAAAACTGATGCATAAAAAAATTCACTTCTGCAGAAAACACAACACAATAATTATAAATGATAAATAAAACTCTTACTGCACAGAAGATTTTATTTTTTGAGTATAAACGACTAGAATATATATTTAGTTTGCTTCACTCGAGTTAATTCTTTGTATTCATTATTTTTCTTTTGAAATTGTTTTTTCTTTTTTGTTGTAATGAAATTTGAGAAAACCGTTTTTTTTTATTGTCCTGTGACTGAAATTAAGTTGACAACACAAATTATCAATTTCAAACGTAATTTTTTAGTCAATTGTCATTCGTTTCCGACTGGCATGACCGTCTCTTGTCACAATCTTATATCACCAGTAATTCGGTGTTGCCAACTTAACTTTTTATAATTTATATTTTGGAAATTGTTTTTTTTTATTTTAACGAGAAAATTTGAAAAAACTCGTTTTTTATAAAAAGTTGCTATGACTGATTAAGTTATTAAGTTGGCAACAGAAACTATCAATTTCAAACGTCACTTTTTTATGGTCATTTGTCATTCAATTCCGACGGGCGGCCACTGGCATGGCCGCAATCTGATATCACCAGTAATTCGGTGCTGCCAACTATTTTTTTTTTATTTTAATTCGAAAATTTGAGAAAACTCGTTTTTTATCAAAAAAAAAAAACGAAGTGTCCTACTGAAATTAATTTGGAAGCAGAAACTATCAATTTCAAATGTCACTTTTTTATTGTCAACTGTCATTCATTTCCGACGGGCGAGCACTGGCACAGCCGTCAAGTGACACAATTTGATATCACAACTAATTCAGTGTTACCAACTTAATTTCAAAGTCATAGGTCACTTTGATTGAAAAAAATGAAATAATGGATTTTTTCGTTCCTACTTTACCTTTCTGTTTTTGTACTGCTATCATTGCTTTGTGTGGAAGAACTCGTATCAGTGCTAGACTGTGATGGCAGTGGCACAGGCATTGTTTGATATAACTTATCAGACTCATCAAATTTTCTCTCCACTTGTAACAACTCATCCAATTCATCCCATTCCAAATTTTTAACATCTAATTTCGATGGCAATGTTACACTTTTCGGTAAAATCTCCAAAGGGGGTGTTATTGGACTATTCTCGGCTGTACTTGTATCAGTGGAAACCCCACTTTCAATCCCAGTATCTGACTTTAAACTAATATCTAAACTAGTTGAAACATCTGAACATGTAGAAATATCGTTATAACTGGTATCACGTGAGAGGCTTTGTACATCATCATCTGAATCATTATCCGTACTTGCGGACATTCGATATGAATTTCGTTTCCTGACGGTGACCACCGTTCTCTGGTCGTCGTTTTCCTTCAAATGGATGACCCCTTGCACCCCCCAGTGTATCCTCAACGAGCCTTCCAAAATCAACCGACCGTTGACTTCCCGACTGCGAACTTCTCCACTCTTCCCTTCGAAGAACTGGTTGTACGCCTACAAATTTTTAAAAATGTCATATGACAATTCTTAACCGTTTGAAGGTCGGGAAATTTGTCATTACATCCCTTCGTCAAGAAATAGAGTTCATAGAAACCAAAAAGGATATCGATGGAAGGGATGCGCAGAGACGAAAACTCGTCGCTGACGAATCCATTCATAAATACAGGGTGTTTACAGTCTTGGAGTTGAAAATTGACCTAGTAATAGAAGAATACAGAAATACTGTAACCGAGAAAAAAACTAACACAATTGTTATTATTAATTCCAAAATATTGGTACACGGTTTGAGGGTCACTGGAATTATTTCCTTGTCCAGATAATATTGTATTGTTGCAACAAATAAAACAATTGTATCCATGACAATGAAAGAGAAAAGTCACTTCATAGTTTTGACACTGTCATCATTTGATCTGTTTTTGCTTTAGTTTTTATCAAAATTCGAAGATATTCTGTTTAATCTCTTGTAGCGAAATGGTTTCCAACAGGTTTGATTCGTTTTTCTTAATTTTTTTCCAAATTTATGAACATGAATGACAAATATTAAAATAATAAATTGGTTGTCGTGATTTTGATTTACGGTGAAACACAAGGTAATGATACTAATGGCCATTGTTGCAGCCGAAGCAGCAGTTCTCAAACAAATAGTATAAAATGAATTATAACGCATATAACGTGAATTTGTATTTTATATAGTGCATTAGTTTTCTTCTACCGTGAATATCAATCATCTCATTTAAATTTCAACCCCAAGACCGTAAACACCCTGTATAGGGGAGTTCTGAAATCAGCTGAGAGCAGTGGCGTGTATTCGAACTTATTTATTTGAAGAAAACAAACAATTCATATACTGTAATAAAAAAAAATTTTATTACTTTATTAATAAATAACATTTTTAAGGCAATTATTCAACAAGGTTCAAATTATTATAAAAATAAAGTCCATTTCCAAACCACAAGTCTTTAATCACTATTTGCAGTGCACAAGTTGAGCTGCAGACGTACGTACCTATATTTTTTATTACATAATACATTATATTGTAGTATAATGAAAAAAAAAAAATTTTAATTTTAAAATAGTTATCAAAATGTAGTATATCTTTGCATAAGAATAGTAAATATATTTTATTAGTTTTATAGTAAAAAATTCCATTTTGACTTACGAGTATAAAGTGACAATTTGAAATTACTAAGGCCCATCAGTTATATAAAAAATTAATCGCCTGTAATTCTGATTTAAACCCATAACAACAATTTTTGTAAAAAATTGAGGGTTCATCTTCTTACATCTTATTGACTAGGTATGAAAACAAAACATCACTAAAAAATGTTTAATATACCTACTTATTAACAGGGGCATCTTAGAAATGTTAACTTTGAAAAATTAATTAAAATCAATTATGATACAAAAATTGTTTTTTAATATGTTTACATTTTTAATAAACGAATCTATTTGTTACTGTTTGTTCGTATTTTATTTATACACAAATTCATATCACCGTATATTTGAAATAATCGTGGATCATCGTATGATTTTTTTATATTTAATATCTCTGTCAATGAATATACGAAAAAAAATGCAACTCTACAATTCCCTTTTTATCATAGTGTTACGCCACTGATCAAGTTTCCCCACTACACCAAGTACGCATTGGCTCCGCCTATCGATATCCTTCTTGGTTTCTATGAACTCTAACTTGTTTGACACATGTTTACCGACCTCGATTGTAATATACTATTGAGTAATGACATATTTCCCACTTTGCGTGTAATACACTATAAACCGGGAATTCCCACCTTTAGTTTTGCCTCCAGTTGGGTCCTGGGTAGCGAAGGCCCGTTTCCGATTTTGGGGAAGTCTTTCTGTAGGCCGAAACTCTTGTGGGACTCCACTCTGGTCCCGTGTCCGAACAGCTGGGGCCCGAAGAGGGCCCCATAACAAGGCACATGACAGTAAGGGACTCCTTTGTGCTCCGCGTGCTGGCCCGGATTTAACCTCTTGCCACATTCTTCACACCGCAAACACTCCGGATGCCAATTATATCCCAGAGACTGCTTTCTTTCCGCTGCAATGCCAATTTTAAAGCTATTTAACCTTGAATTTCAAGTCGGTTTGACATTCTTGCATGTGGAGGTGTGACATTATAAACAAGCACACTTGATTGCACTAGCGACTGAATTTTGGGGGGTTATCATGCTGGGGGCTGCAGAAGGGGCAAATGGTCAATTCAATGGTTAAGCTTACCAAAATATACGGGTTTTCCGCACTTGTGACATTTCCACATTATATTACATTGAAATAAAACGAACAAGCACTAAACACAACTTAAAACAAGGGAAATTAAACATTTGGTTCACATTTACGACACTACATGGCCTTTGAAACACAACAGTCAACATCAGATGATCCCACAGACGTACCCCAAGTCATGTTAGGCGGAAGAATAGCAAACACAACGCAACCCGGCAACATCAGGTGTATTTTGGGTTGTCTGCACTCTATTCTTTGTTAAATATTGAATTTTTTAATTACCTAGATTATTATAATTTTTAAGTGAATTAATAAAATAGTATGTTAAAATACAAGTTTTTTTTTTCAAGTTTGTGTTTTTTATACTGCTTCTAAAAAAAATAAGAAACTGACATTTGTCATTGTGCGTAATCTGGAAATGAATTCCAAATGTTTTTTGATATTTGACACCAAAAATTCGGAAATTGGTAAACTTATTGAAGGCAATTATCTTCCAACGGTCACCAACCTTAAAAACAAAAAATATACTAGGCTGTACGCTCGAAAGCTGTTGACCAGTGTTGCCAGGCCTTGTAAAATTTCACTAGATATGGTGATTTTCCTGCTAGTGGTGAAAATTTTTGTCAAAATTTTAATATCAGGTGATTTTTTAAAAATGAAAAAGTCTGCAGTTACAACAAAAAATTAACACACTATTTTTTCAATTATTAATTAAAGAAATTATGTCAAAAATATCTTGTCGAGCATTCTCCACCTTTCTCCAAAAACTCGATTATTTGGTCAAAATTTCTTTAAAAAAACACCAAATTGGTTAAAAATAGTTCTGCATATTTGTTTTTTACTAAATTTTATTAAACAAAGATAAGATAATTTACTTTTGCCTTGCTCGAATGCTTTAGTAGGTACATTTTTCAGATAGAAACATAATTATTTGGCAAAATTTCGTTAAAAATTCAACAAAAAAGAGGCTATTTTGCGCTTTTTTAACATAAAAATAAAGAAATTAAATATTTTATTTAAACAGGCTAAAAATTACAAAATTAAATCGAAATTGGTATTCATTGATTATTCGATTTTATTTGCAAAATCTTGTCCAAACGCCTAAAAATTACAAAAATAATCGAAATTAATATTAGTTTGTTGATTTCATCCGATTTAACTGTTTTTTTTTTTTTAATTAAGACAAAAACAAGCCTAGAAACCACAAAATTTGGTCAAAAATATTTTTAAGCACATTTTTGTACTAAAATCTCAGGCTTTTTTCGAGATTTCGCTAAAACAAAATAAAAAAATTATTACGTCAAAAATTAAATTATTTTTACATTTCTCAAAGGTTTTTCAGCTCTAATTTTGCAAGATTTCGTTAAAAACAAGCCAAAAAACCACAGAATTAGGCCTAAAATATATTTTTTTTTTTGCTTTTTCGTAACTATTTCACGGAACAGGGTGAATTTTATTTTTTTCGGGGTTGGCAACACTGTTGTTAAAGAGCTAGAAACATCGGTATTCAGTATTGCCAACTCATTCTTGATTTTTAAGTCAAAGTTGATTTTTAACTCAAAAAGAGTACATTTAACATTAAAATTTAATTAAAAACGTAAAATTGTAAAATTTTTCTGGGACCAGAATAATTCTACAGTTTTTTCAAAAAAATCCTCGAACAGGTCGATTTTATTTTTTTAATGCTATATTTTGAATTATAGTGACATTTATGATGTTTTAAATAGCACACATCTTTTTTCTGGTAATAAGGAAAAAGAAAAAAAAAACTAAAACCTAAAAAAAACTAATTTAAAAAAATTAAAAAAATATTGACACAAAACACAAAAGGCTTTATCTTTTTGTTATTGATTTTTTGTATATTTTTTTAAATAATTAGCATGAAAACACTTAATATGAAACCTAAACACAAAAAAAAAAACAAAAAACAATCACTCCTTATAAAATAAAGCAAGAACAAGAAGATAAAGCTCTTTGTATAAAACTTTCTATAATTTTTTTAAGATTTTTTATTTTATTTTTTTTTTGCTTTTTGTAACTATTTCACAGAACAGGGTGAATTTTATTTTTTTTGGACTGGCAACACTGCTGTTAAAGAGCTAGCAACACCGGTGTTCAGTATTGCCAACTCATTCTTGATTTGTAAGTCAAAGTTGATTTTTAACTCAAAAAGAGTACATTTAACATTAAAATTTAATTAAAAACATAAAATTGGTGAAATTTCACATTATTATACAGCGAGGGCGAAAATGTGCGCTTGCGTGCTTGTGATTAAAAATCAATTGTTGCGCATCAGGTGTAGATATAGCAATATGTAATCGATAATAAAAAATGGCGCTAGATTTCGCGGCTACTTATAAAATCCTAGTTTTAGGTGATTCGAATGTTGGTAAAACATGTATAGTGCATCGTTTCTGTGATGAAAGATATTACGATACATACATATCCACTATAGGTAATAATTAATTCGCGATTGATTGTGAAAGTTCATTAAATAATAAATCACATTCCAGGCATAGATTTTAAACAAAAAATTGTTAATCTTGATGGCGTCCCAATTAAACTGCAAATTTGGGACACAGCCGGTCAGGAGAGATTTCGAACCCTCACAACAGCCTATTATCGAGGCGCAATGGGAATTTTACTTTTATATGACGTCACTAATTTAGAATCTTTCAATCATATAACATATTGGCTTCAAAATATAGAAGAGGTACCGAATTTTTCCCTTTTTTTTTTTTAAACAAGTTTAGTTTATTGGCATTGTAGAACGCTTCCCCTCATGTAATCACCGTCTTGGCTGGAAATAAATGTGAATCACCAGACAGAATCGTTGACAGTGAAAGTGGACAAAAGGTAAACACCACCAACAACAAACAAACCAAATTAATCATCTTTTCCAGATTGCGGAACATTTCGATTTAACTCATTTTGAAGTCTCCTGCAAGGACAATGTTAACATTGAAGCGTCTTTTATGACTTTAGCTAGGAAAATTCGTGAGAAACGGGAACAAAAAGTGAGCCATTATGACAGGGTTTCCCCTAATCTAAAACATTCTTACAGGGTTATGCTTTAAATGAACCAATCAAAGAAGACAATTCTGATCTTCTTAAACCCAAAACTGAGCTTCAAATTCGTGCATGTTCAGCATGTTAATTCAAGACTGTCAATGAGCTATCAAATAAGTATGTGGTAACTGTAAGTAAAGCTTTAAAAATGTACGTAAACACACGCTCAAAACTATTAAAATGTAAGATATAGACTATACAAGGTGTCCGAAAAAAACAATGATAGATTTCGGGGGGTGTGGTTCCCTACGTCAAAATAAGCAAAAAAGGGAGCTTATAGTTATATCAGGTGAACAAAATAAAATATGGAACCAAACTATTTATTTTTTGAGAAAACTAATGTTGTTTTTGAGTTTTGCACAATTTTTTTTTTCATTTCCATACAAATTTCTAGGGATTTTTCTTCTTATTTTGAGCTATGGGACCACCCCCCGATGTCTTCCAATATTTTTTTCTGACAACCAGTATACAGGGTGAGTCTACCAAAAGTATATTTTAACTTAATATCAAAAACTAATAGTCATGTGAATTTTTTCATATTTTTTCTCCTGTTTGTTGTAATAAATATTAGTTAATTTATGTTAGGTGGTTGAAAAAAAAATTGTATTATTTCTAACGTTCCGTTTCAAAATGTATTTTTACGAATTATATATTGACTGACACTTTTATTTAATTTAAAAAAATACGCCATTTTTCGCGTGCAGAATAGAAATTTTTACACAAAATGTGTGAAAAAATCTGAAAAATTAAAATGCACAGACAGCGAAATTTTTTTTATGGTAAAAGCTGATCTTTGTATGATTATGTTTTTGATATAAAGTTAAAATATACTTTCAATGGACTTGTTGTATTCCGGAAAATTGTCCACCGAAATTGCAGGAATTCCTATAAATCCAAATTAATTCCTGTAATTCCAAATTCATTCCAATTATCTCCGATAATTCCAAAAATAATTCCAGTAATTTTTAAAAAATTCTAGTAAATCCAAAAAAATTTCGACGAAATTCCAGTAATTCCAATAATGTATCTTAAATCAATAGTTCTAAGCAATTTTCAAAAAAATTATCAGATAATTTTGATAATTCCAAATAATTCGACGCAATTTCGATTAATTCCGAAAAATTGTACAACTTATTCCAGAGTTAACGACTTCTCGTATGGATTCATTAATTAGTTTCTTAATTGTTAGACGTTTTCGATGGAGAAAAATATCATTGTTAGAAATTCTTCCAAAGATTTATCAAATATTTATTTGATAGCATCAGTGCGAATAGCAACCCTCCCCATATACACAAATCTGCCGATTTATAATTTTTTTAATATACTCGTACTTGTTTTTATTAGGACAAAGCAATAACTGTTATTGTTATCTGATTAACCGTGCTGATTTTTTTAGTGCAGAATCTTAGTTTGAAATAGAAACGCACAAATGATAAATATCACTTTTCTTCAAACACGAAAAGTTTGAAATACTCAACTAAATGTTTCTTTTTTAGTAAGACTGATGCTTAATATATGTACTAAAATCTACTATAAGTTGTTACTATATTCTTCACAGGTGTTCCAGAAATATCTAGTATAGCGATCGATTTTTAATTTTTTATAGGATAAGTCTGGGCGAGATGGACTTTTACATATTTTTATGTATTTAAAACTTTCGAATTGTATAAAAATGAGAGATCTTTCTGGAACACTTTGAAAAGAAGTTGCTCAGTAATATGCATAGTTGCGAAGCTTG